TATATTTCCTTTGTTTCACCATTATGCCATTTATTTTAATAGTTTATATGCTCAGATTTCAGTTATTATTTGACAAAGGTAAAAACATAAATCATGGGAAGTGAAATTTCTAGACTTCAGATGTTCTTTTATGTGCCATGTCTCTTCAGGATATTGGTGATCATAGCTCTCCACAATTTCCTGTCCTTTGTAGCTTTTAATAAATTTTGTCTTTTTGTTATTTCTCCTAAACCCTGTTCTATCATCCATTTATTCAAGCTCACTGGGTATGTTGCACATAGTTTTCTCTGTCCCTATTTCCTTCAGTCTGTCCTGTGAGTATAAAATTTTCCAAGTAACTTTGTCTATTTGATGAAAATTACAGAGAACAATGCCAAAACCTTTGCAGTGCTTGTCCATTGTCTAGAAAAGATGTATCTGTCCATGACTAATTACTAGATAAAGGGAAATAGTAGGAAGACATTACATGAGTTTAAGTATGCTACTAGATTGGCATCTAGGTCCCACTCTTTTACTGTTGAATTAGTTAAATGTAACTGCCGCTTCTACTCCAACAGTTTCTTTTCACATCTGTGGAACTTCTTTCTGTTTCCTTGTTCCCCTGAAAACTACAATCTTCAAAAATTTAAATGCAATGTAAATCGCTATCTTCTATCTTCTTCAGTTTTTATCCTTTCCTCAGTACCCACTATACCCAGTCTTTTCACTCACCTTCACTCTCTGTAACCCCCTGCCTACTAGTGGCATTCCTACCTTGCTTTAGGGTGAAATGATTAAAAACAAATCTCTCTCTCTCTCTCTCTCTCTCTCTCTCTCTCTCTCTCTCTCTCTCTTTGTTCAATCATCTTCCATTTCTTCTTGTTTCTTCTCTCATTCTCTTTTCATTTCTTTTCATTTTCACACAGTCATATTTTTCACTCTTTTCTCTCTTTCTTTCACTCTGCCTCTCTTGGTCACCCTTTTACTCTCTGCTCTCTCTCTCTCTCTTTTTATTTCTACCTCTCTTTTTCTCTCAGTTTCTCTTCTTACGTCATATTCTCATTTATTATATACTTTCTCTATCTTTTTACACATTATCTTATTTTTTCTTTATTTCATTCTCTCTCTCCTTCACTTTCTCTTATGTCTCTATTTCTCTTGGTCTCACTATCTCTCTTTTTCTTCTTTTTCTAATTTTATCTCATATTCTCATTTGTCGTTCTTTTTCTTTTTCTCATTTTATACAATCACTTATTTTTATTCTTTCCTCTCTCTCTCTCTTTTTCTTTCAGTCTGTCTCCCATGCCTCTCTATTTCTCTCAGTCTTTCTTTCTCTGTTTCTCCACCTCTCTTTGTCTTTTTTTATTATTGTCAGTTCTTTACCAATTATTTTTCTTTACTTTTATTAATGGATTCATTTTTGTTTTTTTTTTTTAAATTTTGACCATTCCTGTCACATTTAACCCTGATTTTGCATTCTCAAAGACATTTTTAACAACAAAAGGCTGCCCAATGTTAAAAATAATATTTGAATTCATTATGGATTCTGAAAAGGAATCAACATAGGAGAGAAATCAGACTTTTATCAAAGAATCTCAGAATTTGAAAGTGATGCCAATTGTACCATGCATTCTCTTTTGGGGCAAGCTGAAATCTTCCTACAAGAAGTAATAATTCTTAGACAATTTGAAGGATTCTTTCTTTGAATAATTACAAAGTAAAAAACAGTACATTTTACATACCAACTAAAAAAAGAATTAAAATATCTTTGGCTCAGTCTTAGAGAGGTTTTGGTTTAAATATCCTTTTTTTTAAAACAATAATCTCAAAAAGAGTCACATGATCAGTTTTTTAAAATTATTATAATATAAGAGATAGGTTAGTTGATTGTCTGCCTTATCAGCACTTGTAGGGGGATCATTCTAATGTCAAATTGTGTGTGAGAGTCAAATTCACTACTCAGTAGTGAGTTTGATCCTCAAATCAACCAGATTAGCTCATAATCAGGCCTTTTTATTATTTCACAGTAAATTATATAATATATATATATATATAGAGAGAGAGGTCAATGTCTGATCCTTACCCCTCCTTCCTCAATATTAAGTATTATAATAAAAAGAAATATAAAAAGAAATTTTAAAACTCTCCCTTCCCTCTCTAAACTTGACCATGTCTCTCACATTATTCCTTACCACTTTCTATATCAATTTATATAAGTTTAATACTGCCTGTCAAAAGTGTAAATTTCTAATTCATTTTTCATTTCACATTTTGAAAGTGAAGTCTGATGATCCAGAGAAAAATAAAATTTTCTGGTGAAATAAATTATTACAAATGGAACCTTAAAGTGGTCTGTTTTTCTTTAAATTAAATTATTTGCTTTGACTTAATATTGAGCTTTCATGATTTCACCCTCCTTGGGATTATCCATATGGATTACCAAGATTTTCATTACTTAATTATATATATATATATATATATAAATAAATTCATTGAGTCTGATATAAACCTCAACAGGAAAATAGAGGAAGCACTGGACGGCCGTTTCGTCCTATAATTGGGACTCATCAGCAGTGCGCATCCACCACCAGGTATCGAAACCCTGACAGTTGGGTTGTCAAGCAGACAACATACCAACTGTACCAACCGGGCCTCGACACCGAAGAGATTCATATTTATATGTTTATCAAATCCTCCTACTTATTATATGTGTTTATCGTTGCTTGATTCGGCTTCTAATGCTCCAGTTGGCGCGGCTTGGTGAGAGTAGTCGTGGCTCCCGGGGCACAGTCTTATGGTTATATAAGCGAACTCAGGAGAGTTCCGCCACGGAATATGTGAGTGAGCGGCGCTATGTTGAGTCTGATATGAATCTCTTGGTGTCGAGGCCGGTTGGTACAGTTGGTATGTTGTCTTGACAACCCAACTGTCAGGGTTTCGATACCTGGCAGGTGAATCTTGCTGATGAGTCCCAATTATAGGACGGCTTGGCCGTCCAGTGCTTCCTCTATTTTCCTGTTGAGGTTTATATCAGACTCAATGAATTTATTTATATGTTTATCAAATCCTCCTACTTATTATATATATATATATATATATATATATATATATATATATAGAGAGAGAGAGAGAGAGAGATACTTGTATATTCTTTGTTTATTTATAAAGTAGTTTTTATTTCCATAGGTTTGAATCCTGCTGGAGAGTGCATGTTTTTCTAATAAGATTTCTCAAATATTCAGGCCAGTAGACAAAAAAATACTGTTTAATAAGTAAATGGGGCATCTACTCAAATATGAGTATCCATTAAAAATAACATTTAAGCAATAAAACTCTGTCAAATTAATAAATAAAAAATCCATATATATATATATATTACTATTACTATATATTACTCTATATTACTCTCCTAGGGTAGTGTAGCTGTTCTGTATTGCTCATTTAGATATAGAGTCCAATCTTTTACTGTTAAGGAGGTGCCTGTCTTGTTTATTTTTCTTCTCAATTTATGTTTCCTTTTCCCTTTTTTATGAGTTTGTCTATTGGTTTTTCATTTTACTGGTTTTGCCTTTCTCTTCTTATTTTATTTCCTCACTTAACAGATTTTGTGTTGGTTTTAACAATTCTTTGGTTTGATTATCTATATATACATATATATATAATATATATATAATAAAACATGTTCCCTCATCCATAGAGAAACAAATTAGTATAAACACTGAAAATGAAGAGATATTTTGGAAACATTGTAATTTTTATAATAAGACTTCAAAGAATAGTGGCTATAAATGTCCCAATATTAAATATAATAAGGATAATAAAAATAACCATAGAAAAAATAGAAATAGAAAAATCATTTGGTACACACTCCCTTTTAACCAAATGGCTTAAAGTTAGGGCAAAGGTCTCTTGCTTTGATTGAAAAAGATTTTCCAAGAAATAATCCTCTTAGCAAGATTTTCAATAAAAATGCACTAAAATTAAATTACAGTTGTACTGAAAATTTAAAAAAAATTATAAAAAACATAATAAAATTTTAAAGAAATCATAATAATAGTGATTTCTGAATGAAAATCATTAATATTAATGAAAAGTTATGTAACTCTAGAAATCCCATAAATTGTCCATTGCAATATAAATGTCTTACAGAATCTGTAATTAACCAATGTACTATTTCATCTATTGAAAATCCAGGTATTACAAAATTTTATATTGGTAGCACAAAAATGTTTTTAAATTAAGATGGTATCAACATCTTATGTCCTTCAGCAACAATGGTTATCATAACCAAACATACCTCTCTAAATATTTTTGGCATTTAAAAGAAACAAATAAAACCCCTACAGTAAAATGGGAATTATTAAAAAAGGAGAACTTGTAAATCATTAAATACCCCTGTCCAAAAAAGACAACACCCATAATAAAATTTTGAAATCTCATTCCCCACTCCTATTTAAACTCTTCAAGATAACACTTTTTTCCAGAAGTTATTCAAGATCACTTGAAAATGGAACAATAATTTTAACCTTCAGTTCTGAAACATAGAAATTTCAATATCACAATAAAATATTTTTTAAATGTCTTAAATAACAATATTATAATATATATATGAAAGACATAAGGAAAACTTTTCTTTATCAACACTTTCAACCCTATGTTCTTTCATTTGTATTCAAGTCATCTGAAGATTGTGTGAAACTCTGGTTATTACTAGGGACATCCTTTCATAGTACATATATATATATATATATATATATATATATATATATATATATATATATATATATATATATATATATTCTGCTTATACATTATTTTATAGATATAATTTATTTAAGTAAATACTCCGTTTTTTTTAACTAAACTGTATTAATTACATTTACTGGCCTGAATGTTCGAGAAAGTTCATAGAAAATATGTGATCTCTGACAGTGAGTATAACAAACCCAACTAGATTTGAAACTCAGTTCTCCAATTAATAATTCAAAATCACTATACATAACACCACCTACACATCTAAGCTTACAGCATCTGTTATTCCTAAGTGGTCACCAAACTAGGTGCTGATAGGGCTCGACATGGCTTCACTTTGGTGATCATATGGAAACCAGTGTTTCAATGTGATATGCCTGAAAGTGAGATACAAGTTTAATTTTCATTTTTTTTTTTTTAGTTTAAAAAAAAAAATTAACAGAATCCTATCATATCTCATTTCTTCAAAAGTAAAATTTACGCTAACTCGTGCAATAATTTTCATGACAGGGATTAGTTTTAAGATCAAGATTAGAGCGGGCAATCATATCTGTTCTTTACTTTTGTCTTCATCTTAATTTGCATTTCTTCATGACAATTGCTCTAACGAACTACTTTCACTGGTACCCAAACTGCATGAATTTAAGTGTGCTACTAGGATGGCATCTCAGTCCCACTCTTTAATTGTTGAAACAGTTAAATGAAGCTGTCTCTTCTACTCCAACAGCTTCTTGTACTTCCAAACAGTGGAACTCCCTTCCTCTTACTTGCTTCTCTGATAGCTATAGTCTTCAAATATTCAAATGTAATATCAATCGACATCTTCTGATGCCTTGATCTTGATCCCTGTCCTTCTCTTTATCTTTTCCTCAATCACCTCTCTTTACTCTTGCTCTCACTCTCTGTAACCCCTTGTGCGCTAGTGGCACTCCTACCTTACTTGTAGTGAATTGCTTAAAAAGAATAACTATAAATTATAAATTTCTATGCTAAACAAATGGAAATGTAATATATAATTGAATTGTGGTTTTTATATTTAAAAAAGTTTAAAAACTGAAATATTTATGTGTTATATTTTATATGTTTTTATTTTCTTTTTACTTTTTCATCTTTTTCTTGTTATAAATCACTTATTACTTCAATCTTCCATCTTTATTTGAACCTCCTCAATAGGATAAATAAAAAGTTGTTTTTACAACTTTTATATTCCAATCATGTTACAGGATGGAAACTCTCATTTCAAGTGACTAACAACAATCAACACAAAACATGTTCAGTAAACCTGTAGTAAGACGAAGACAGTTTCCTGTTTGGCCAAACAATAAATTGCTAAACAATAACCCAATACAAAGCATTGTGCTAATATATATACATCTCTCCAAAAAATAGTTGGATGACATCCAAATGTTCTTTGGCACCCTACTCTCTTAGGAATCAACAAAAAAAAAATGAAATAAATTAAAATTAAAGAAACATATTTCCTTTTTCCTTTTTTTATTCTATATCATTTTTTTATTATTTGATCTAATGACATTAATAGATGTAAATATGATCAGTGCTTTTTTCAAAGCATAAAGTTGCCAGTACACATATCAATTAAAATTAAGCTGCATTTATTTTTCCTGCCAAGAAACACCCCAACTTCATTATTTATTGATTATTCAATAAATTAATGTCTAAAATGTGTAATATCAATACATTAAATATATTACTAAGTTTATAGACATTTGAAAATTAATCTAATTTGTTTCTTTAGCCACTAATAAATGGATCAAGACATTGACCATTTAATGATTTTCTGTAGTATTAAACAGTGAATGTAATTGATTCAATTTAAGTCCACAATTTCCTATTAATGTATTTTACTAAAAAAAACAAAAAACTGTAAATATCTTATTGATCAAATATTACAAACTGTTTATATTACACTGCTGTAAATTCTAAAGAAAAGTAGGTGTCTGAAGATAAGAAAAAAATCAGTTTTCTATTTCTTGTTTATTTTAAAGACAGAGAGAAAGTGTTAACAAAAGAATGTCTATATAGTTTTCTTTGATTTAATCTGCCCAGCTTTGTTGTTTTTGTATTCATTTTTTTTTTTTTTTTTTACATTTTGTATGCGTACTCTATGACCTCCTTTCGGTGTCTATTTTCTTTCTATATAATTCTCAATTTTTAAAGAAAATTAAAACAAGATATATATTTCAATTTTCTAATCTTCCTCTTCTCTACTATGTCCTTTCAGGATATAGTTGAGCATAACTCTCCACTGATTTATTTTCTTTATTATCTATGACCTGCCATGGCTTCTTTGGAAAAATAGGAGAGTTATTTCCCATTGCCTCCTTCACACTTTTGAATACAAAGTTGTCTTTTATCTAGACTGATTGCCATTCAAGGTTAGAATATCTAGTATACCCTGCTATTTAACAATTGTCCACTGTAACAAGGCTAATCACAATTTTGACATGAAAAATGCTCTGCTGATCAATGGAGAAAACAATTCAATACTGTAGAGTAGAAATGGAAGATCTCAATAGATAATTGGGAACTTACACAGGCAGACATAAGTTACCTCCTCCAGTGTTATATAAACAGCTGAGTGGCCAGGTGCTAAGGGTATTTTTGTATTTGTATCTTGTTGGTACGAGAATAAAGTAATTGAGAATTACTACTATCATTGTCATTATGGTTAGTCTGCATATCACATGTGAACAGGATCTGGGGAATACGTGGAACTATCTTAACAAAATAAGACATGGCTTCTCCACTTTAGCGGAACACTCGATTTGATTGCTCAACTCATGGAACAAATGATAGAGCTACAAAGGGAAACTATCATGCTTCAGAGGGACGGAAACCCTAATGCAACGCAAACATCAAACACACACACACACACACACAGAGTCCTGTCATTGAACCCAACACAAGAGACAATGATTGAGCATTATTCCTTGAGCAAGGACAGTAATCTGAAGGTGAATGCAACAGATTTTGTTGGATCTTGAGCTAAGCTTACTGACTCTACTTCCTGCAATAATGACCACTGCATCAACAATGCATCCTTCCAATTTTACACTGCACAAAAGCAAAAGTAATAAAATTAATGATTCCTTTTTATAATCATTTAAAAAAAATATTAATCTCAACAGCTATAAATATGCAGATGACACAGTGTTGATAGCAGACACAGAAAGGAAACTACAGGAATTCCTTCAGAAAATAGAAAAGGAAAGCAAGAAGAATAGACTAACTATCAATTGTAAGAAGATAAAATGTCTAATTGTCAGGAAAAAGAAGAGACCAAATTACATGTTGGAAATGTTAAAATTACACAAGTACAAAAATTTAAATATTTAGGAAATTTTTTAACAGAGACTGGAATTCTGAAGGCACATTGGGATAACAAAAGATGCCTTCCAAAATCTAAGCAAAGTATTAAGAAACAGAAAAAGAGTACTAAACTGTTAAGTAATATAAGTCCTGCTAAATGGCAGTCTCTGATGAAGGGAAGACTAATAGAAATGGGGTTCTACAGAAGGATGCTGAGAATAACATGGACAAAACATGTGAGCAATGACAAAGTTTTAGAGAAAATGTATACAAAAAAGACACTGATACTGAGCCTCAGAAACAGAGTGTTGAAATTTCTTGGACAGAAAATTGAAATTTCTCTGTCTGCATATATTCGTATGTATATATACATATATATGTGTGTGTGTGTGTGTCTGTATATATATATATATATATATATATATATATATATATATATATATATATATATATATATATATATATATTCTCCTCTGTAACTAAATGGCATAGCATGTCAAGCTATATGATGGTTCCCTGTAGGATACAGGTTCGATTCCTATCAGAAGTCATATATTTTCTATGAAATTTCTTGGACATTCAGGCCGGTAAATGTAATTAATACTGTTTATTATAAACAGAGTATTTACTTAAATATTTGTATCTATAAAAATAACATATAAAAAATATATATATATATATATATATATATATATATATACTTCAACAAAAATATTACAGACATCAGTAAAGTGACAGGAAATTCTGTCACATAATCTTATATTATCCTTGTTACAGAAAGGATATATTTTGGCAATACTTTTAATATTACTTTATTTTGCTATTTTTTTAGCATACTATCACATTACTCACAAAGACTTAATATATTTTGCTTTAACACTGAAATAAGCAAACAAAAAGATAAATCATTTCTGCGATAAAAAATTAACAAACACTGATTGGTTTGAATTGTTCTTGTTGTTTCTTTCTAATGCTTCAGCTCTTGTACTCTCTAGACTTCTTCAGGGACTTTTGTACTTAGTAACAATCTTAGGATCTTATATTCAATTCACTGGTATAGAGGATTCTCATTTCACTGACCATGCAAGAGGTAATCTAATATCATCTAACTTTTCTTTCTTTATTCTTCCTTGTTATTTTTGTATTTTTTATTCAAACTTGTGACCCTCACTTTTCCCCATATACATGATCTGCTATATCTGATGACATAGTCTTTTCAATGATTACAGGATTTTAATGTTTTAACACCCTTACCTTTGAAGGGTATCCTGAATTACCATTATATTTCCTGCAATAAATCTATTAAATACTATACACAAAATTCTTGGTCATATTCCCAAAATTATCTCCAAAGTGTAGAATTGTTTTAGAATTAATTTTTGATGTTTTATAGACAAGAAATTCTATGTGCCTGAGTCATTACTTTTGATTTGATTTTTATATTATAGACAACTAGCAGCATGGCCCGGTGTTGCCCGTGCTTCATTCAAAAATCATACGAATCATACAGCAATCGCTATCACTTGACTTAAAATATTTTTGCCCTTCCTTGCCTTTAAAGGAGTGCCCTTTGCTGTGCTGATGTTGTTACATGCCTTACTTCTTGCCTATCTCACACTGCAAATTTTTTCTAAGCTCTATACTAAACATTAAATCTGTTACGAAAAAAGAACTAAACAAAATCAACACAAAACGATCAGCTTTAAAAAAGGACTCATAACAGGAAAAACCGAATGAAAAAAGAATGTTAACAACAAATACTTTTTCACACCCAACCCAGTTCTGAGGAATCAGAATCAACGTTGAGTTTAAACAAGCGAATGAGCCAATTGGAGTAAAGTGCCATGCAGATTTAAATTTTTCCCACTTGTGACTAATGCAGCTATCAATTTTTTTTGCATGCTAGCATGCTAGTTAACATTTGTGTTAGTCAGCTGTTGGCTCTCACGCTGGCCAATAGAATCTTCCTGCCTATTTGTGGCAGCCAGCTATAGGCTCTCACTCTGGGTAGTAGAAAATGGCCGCAAACTACATGAAAACTGCCA